AAATAACAAGTCAATATCATCAAGCATCACAAAAAAAAGTGTGGAAAACTAATTATTTAAGTTAAATTTTTAAGTCCAAGGACCATACCTCTGCACAAAATCATCAAACCGGAACAAAATTCAAATTTTGATCTGTAACTTGTCATGATAAAAATATATACCAATTATCAAATCAATATCTTCAAGCATGACGAAAAAAAAGTGTGGAAACTAAACTGATTATTTAAGTGAATTTTCTAAGTCCAAGGACCATAACTCTGCACAAAATCATCAGACCGGAACAAAATTCGAACATGATCTGTAACTTGTCATGATAAAACTATATACCAATTATCAAATCAATATCTTCAAGCACAAAGAAAAAAAGTGTGGAAAACTGATATGCAGGACTGATGGATGGACAGACAGACGGACGTAGTGCAAACCTAAAGTTCCTTTCGACTTCGTCGGTAGGGGACTAATAAAAATAAGATGCAGATGTGGTATGATTGCCCATGAGAAAATTCTCTATCAGCGATCAAATGACATAGAAGTAAGCAAGTCTTTTTCTATATATATATGTAGTTGCAAATTTAAAAGTACTTAATCAAATGGAACCATCTAAAGAGTATTCCAATCATCATTTGATCAAACCGATTAAATTTTTTTTTTCCCAACAAAAATGTCTTTTCATAGCAAGAGACTATTTCAAGAAACTCATAATGGATCACTTGGTACAATTATTAAATGGGCTAAACTGGCATCATCAATGCAACAGTTCACAGTCATCTCTGATCCAAATTGACTTTGTTCTATCTGTCTCTTATCTACATGTGTACCATGGTCACAAGGGACATGTAAGATAAACTCTCTGACAACTTTGCTTTCAGGCATTATTTAGAGCAATTTTAGTAAAAAAAAATTTAAGTTGTTTACAAATTATCAAACACTACATGTACATACGGATTTTGTACCAAAATGGCTTGAATCTCAACTAGTTAAACTCGCACCTACTATACATGTCATGTACTTATAGCTGTATGAAACTACATGTAATAAAATAAAAAGTCATGTATAGACCCAGCCACATGAACATTTAAAATTTCTGGAATGAATATTATAATTGCACCAGTTTTTGCTCATATGAATTATATATATACTGCCAGAAGAAATTATACCTTGCAGGACCAAAGACTGACAATCCAGGAACAGTCCAGAAAACATTATATTCAGCTATATGTAACAAGGTGGATATATAATCAGTGTGTCATCTCTGCACATTATGTATTAACTTAAATGGACAATTTTACAAGTAAATGCAAAATGTACTCCAAAATTGCTTTGATGTCTGACAACCTTTTTATAAAACTTGCAGCAGGTCCTGAAGTGGCAGAAGTAATGTTTCCAGAACTTTTCTTATGAAGAAGTCTACACAGATTGTAGGTTACTACTGATAGCCCGAGTTTTATTGTGAAAACCTCAAGGCCTTTCTTGGTACATGAAACTGCAACAACATATGATGTGTAAGGTACAAAATGTATAAACAAATTGTACAACTGCAAAGGGCCTGTCCATTTTCCTAAATTTGTTACATGGGATTATAAGATTTATAGAAGACAAAACTTTGACAGAAAATACATCAAGTGAATGGCTAGTGTGACTATTTTGTCACAACAAGTAAACATTATAGAGGGATGTACATATAGCATACATTTGCACAAAAATGAATGGAGGGGGGGGGGGGGGAGTGTAGGGGACCCCTCACTGCATGTATGTAGTTGTGTACTGAGTTGTAGGGATGAGCCACTGGAATATTACAATCTTCTTAGTATCAAAAACTTCTTGATAAGGGCCAGAAATTTAGATTAAAGCAGAATACATATGTTGTGTTGCTAAGCATACTTCCAATTGCATGAATTGTAAATTGAAAGATTTAAAGTAACACGTTACAATTAATCACTGCTGAGCTGCTGCTGTCCAAATATGGTCATTCTGTTCAGTAGTTTCTAAGAAAAGAGTGACAGAATTTTTTGTTGGACAAATGGACAAGGCGATTGCAATTATAACCCTGCTTACAGATGGGGTCAGGGGGCATAATATACAGATACATTGTATATGATAAGGTTTCTGAGTATCTGAAAACACTAAATCAAATGTGAGTATTTATTAAAGTACATGTATGATGAAAACCACAGTCGTAAATGAATCAGATATTTGTCAGATCTATTTTAACTCCATGAAATAGCATTATATGACATATAGTTGTTAACTTCTACATCATTAAGATTTGGTCTCTGGTGGAGAGTTGTTTCATTGGCAATCATACCACATCTTTTTATTTTTATATACATGTATACATGAAGGTTCATTTTTTGCTTAAATATGATAGGGTATGTATTTTTAAATATTTTTCAAAATATATGTAAAAGAGGGCATACTGGATATCTCAGCTGCTCAAACCTACCGCAAAAGGATTGCAGTCCTCCCCCCACCCCCCAGTGTTCTCCCTAGATAATTTTTAATGTATGGTGGGGTCCATGGTGAATTCGAAGCATGTTGGTAAATTTGAAGCATGTGGCACGAATCCTTGTTTTCATTTACATTCAAATGAGATTGAATATGCAGCATTAAGCATTCTGGTTATGACTATTTCCAAAGCCACAGAATAAATTCAATGTTTTAGATTTTATCATGTACGGTACATTGTGTACCTTGAAGGTATTTATCACAGATGTTAGAAATAAGTTCAAGTTTATGATTTTAAATAAAACTGAACAATTCTGTGGTATTTTGTATTGACATATGCATGTTATTTGTATGTTCCCATTCTTCTGGTACTTCAAGTTCAGTGCAAATTGACTTGAAATGGTTAGACAGAGTCTGAAAAACACAGAATTTCTTATGCTATACCGGTAGTAGAATTTAGGGTAGTAATGAGTACAAATTTATTTTCTGTTCATTCTGATGAAGGTATAATTCAATCTTTAGAGCCGAGTTGATTTTCTACTATTTGCACATAATTGACATATAATTGGTGAAGAAGTTTACTTCTCTGACCAGATAGTCAACCATGATAGTTGGGAATAATAATAGGTGACAGGTTTTTATGCTGGTTGCTTGGATATGGTTGTCAAAATTATGATTAAAACTTTGAATTCCACAAATGGAATTTGTTTTATTCAGCTCTGAATGTCACAATATGTTCCTCATAAAATTTACTTGCAGAATATATATGCATAGCAATGCTGATCAAAGCATGGTGGCTGAAATTAATGCATAACTGGACCACTATTCGAAAAAATAGCCTATAGAAAACACACAACCCCCTCTCACATTTTTACAAGTGTATGATAAGACACTCAATCGCAAATTAAACACAATGTAATTAAATGTGTAGATATATTTCATATTTTATAAATAACTGTGTGAGTATTATGGCTGATGTATGTGTACATGTGCTCTCTAAATTATAAAAATAACATTAATTTAACAATTCAAATATTCAAATTTGAGTCTATGTTCATTGATGTTATTTATCCATATCATCAATATTGCTGAAAGTTTTTGAAAGCTACACTACAAACCAATTAGAATCTAACGAAGAAATACAGTAACATCTTCATTAGATACAAAAAGACTGAATATACATATAATTCAATCTCAAACGAAGTGACCAGCTTATGAAACAATCTTCACCAAAATTTCATTAAAGTATTTGCTACAGTTTGTATGACATAAATTAAAATTCACCTTTATTTCCAAGTCATTTATACCACTTTTATCCCTTGAAAGTATTTTTCATATGCGGGCCGAATCGACTTTAAATATGGTCATACATGTATACTGGGCTGGAACGACTTCAAGGCAGAATGACATGAAACTCATTATTTGATTGAATAAGTTACAATTTTATATCAGCTGATATGCTGGTGAAAATTTTTTGAAGAGATTCCCCTAAAAAAATGGTTAAAGGTAGTACTCAAATGTAGAACCAGTAATGAAACCCTAAACACACACCTTTTTTTACCTTTCATTTTTTTTAAATCCTGAAAATCCAGCATTTCTGATATACAAAATTGGACATATCCATCTAAGAGGGGGGTAGGAGGGGTCCTGTTCCCGAAATCCCAGGCTTAAAAACATGGAATCCCAAGGTCCCGAATTTAAAAAAAATTTAAATCCCAACATCCCGAAATTCGAAAAAAGAATTCCAGGATCCCGAAAGGATCAATCCCGAAATCACGAGCTTAAAAACACCCGATCCCAGAGTCCTGATAAAGGTCCTACCCCCCTACTCCCCCCATCTAAATGTACTGAATAAGTACTGAATGAAAAAAAAAATAGAAAGATTGTGGACTACCAATCTTGAAGTTTTCAACTATAATATAAGGAGTCAATTCTATAATATAGAAACATAGGGTACAGAAATATTCAACATATTTCAGAGAATAAATACAATTCAAAAACAATTGCCCTTTTGAAAATTACACACAGTAGCCTTTTATTAGTCCAAATAATTATGACGTCTTGAAAGGCTATTTTACTTTTTTTATTTGACGCCTTACTGCGCAGTAAGTTGCGCAGTAAGGCGTCAAAGCAAAAAAATAAAATAGCCCCTCAAGACGTCATAATTATTTGGACTAGCCTTTTATAAGAACTGTAAACTATACAAAACATTTCCAAGTGTGTACATATACCAAAAAGTCTGGTTATTTCATTCATCTGTTAGTAAGTTCATTTCATCATTAAATGAACAGGCTTCACCCAGCACCTTATATATATATATATAGCTACTATAAGTATACATTTATATACATTGACATTGTACATGTAATCTCATTCACAATATATATATTATATATATATATACACTTTTGTGTTCATTGTTCATCTTTCTTGAATTATATTCATAGGTTTATAATAAAACTCTTAAGATTCATAGCTGGCAGACCATTGAAAATTAATATCTCATCTATTTGGGTGTTGATTTATTTATTTTGAAAGACCTGGAAAATACTCACCTTCCTGTCCACAAAAGAACATGCTATTTCCTTTAGACTTGCTAATGTGAGCTCTCCTTCTACGTTAATTTGATCTCTCGTTAAACCTATCTGCATCTGAAAGCTAAGAGATTTCTTTCCACTATTTGTGTCCTCCATATTTAAGTGGAAAGGTCTCACCCATGAATGTTGGCTGTCACCTCATCAAAATGTCATCTTGCTCATTGGTGACTTCCGGGTGTTGGGTGAAATTGGGTCAGTAAAGATATTCCGATCAAATTTCGTCAAAACCCAAAGCCTGGTCTAAAAAGAAATAGTCAATTTCTGTTGTTTTCATTGATTAATTTAAAAGACAAAGTGTAACTTGAATCATATTTCAGCAGAGAAAACATTAAGGAAAAGAACACCGGTGTACCACGTGATAATATTGTCGTAATATCAAAGGTTTATGGTATATGTTTGCAATTGAAGCATTTTATTTCAAGTTACAAATTTGTTAATGTGTGATTATATCTGTACATAACAATATAAAATTATTATTTTGGAATATGCATGTGACGAGTCTCTGCTTCGCTGTGTTACGACAAATAAACAGGCCTACTTCCGGTCGTTAGGATTGTTCGATTTCTCTCAAGATTTTTTTTACAATAAAAGTAAACAATAAGGGAGCAACCATTTAACTTCAAGGGAGATTATGGTTTTTTGTCTGAGTCAGAAATTTTTTTCGCGCTTAATTTTTCGTTTTTCGACGTTTATCAAATTATTTTTTTCAAATTTTTTTTAACACTATAAGGTATGGGGAAAATCTGGATTCAGAATATTTTTTGTCATCTGCTTGACCATAATTTTTTTTTCATCAAATTGGGGTATTAACATGGGTAAGAATATTTTTTTAGGAAAAAACCATACCCCCCACCTTTGAAGTTAAATGGTCGCTCCCTAAAAGTCCTACTAAACACTGATCCCATATTTTCTTTTACTACGTTTGTTTTTATTATTGTGTGTGTAGATTGATTTCTATTCTCCTTTTTCCGACTGTATAAAACGGTTCTTGTATTTCTCCGCTTCAGTGTTTTAAGAAATAAAATTAGTATACCTCGACACATGTGTTCCCACATCGCATATCAGTGTTCATGTAGTCATGATATAAAAAAATAATGGACAAATTATAATGATGATAAATGTCTGCATTTATCCTTTGAATAGCTTCAAATATCAATAAACCCCATCCCTTTGCATTACGAAACTAATACAAAATAATCGTTGGCACTATACCGTACTGCATTTATCTGAGACTACTATAACAATAATATAGTAGTCTCAGATTTGATAAATATATAAAAGATACTGATAATTAAAAGAACATATCTTTCATTAAATTATACGATTTTACGGTAAGAACAGATCACTGATTTAGCCAATGATTTGTATCCTTGATTTAGCATAGACGGATGATAGAATAGAATAGAATATTATTATTTCCCAAATTACAGGGCCCTTAAACGGGACATAAAACCAGTTACAATTGATTGACATAACTGATAATTACAACAATAAACAGCACAGTGTACATGTACATGTATATTTAGTATATTAGCATTGGTCAGAATCAGAGCCAACAACAATATAAATTATGAATGCACAATTAAATGATAAAATTACATTATATGCATTCCGGTTATTAAATTATTTACTAGACTTAGTATCAAAATTCAGACCCGATCTCCTTATTAAAAAAACTCGCCAATATAACAGCCCATTTTTTCCATAAGAGATACATTTTCCTGTGTCAAGAGCCATACACATTTGGAAGATTTATTTAAGTTTTTAAAATTATAACAAATGTTAGAAATGTATTGAAAAAATTCTTCTCTTTTGATATCATATAGTGGACATTCTAATAAAAGATGAAGCTCATCCTTAATTTTACCAAGTGAGCAATTTAAACAAAGACGCTCGGATCTATCTATACGTTTTTCTGAATATCTGTCCGTCTCAAATTTTAAAGAGTGAGCGCTTATTCTTAATTTTACAAATTGACTGTCTTTTGTTAAACTACTGTAGTTCTAAATATTTTTCTTTTTCAAAACAATCTTTATAGAAAAATAAGTAACAAGCTTCCCTTTTTCTTCGTTAATTGTTTGACACTTCAGTCTATCCCAAAATGTTAAATAACTTTCACATAATTTATTTTAAATATACTTACATGAATAACCAATTGGTTGGTCAAAATTAGGTAATTTAATCTCTTTCTGGATATAATCTATACTAAAGTACCATGTATTAACATTAGAAATATGTAATTGTTTACAGTCAACGTATAAATGCATCAAATAATAATCCTTCTTTCAAACCTTCCAGTCTATGACAATATTTTAACATTGCTAAAATTATGGTAAAATAAATTGGAAATCTACCAAGCTATGACATCACAGCTATGTTACTGGCCTTTCTGTTTACACCAAGAATATATTTTGTAAATTTATTATGAGCCTTTTCAGAAGAACCCCGACCAAAAACTTTTTCTAATATATAATCATTATCTTTTTTATATGCAGATGAATCAGTACGAAACATTCCCCAGATTTCACTGCCGTATAATAATATGGGTTTAATTGTATGATCATAAAGATGTAAAAATATGGCAGTACTAGGGTTAGATGATGACAAGCATCTCTGTAGCTTAAAACATGCTTTTAAAGATTTGTTGTATAATTCCTCTTTACACTGTTTGAATATACCACTAGATGACATGTAAGTGTGATTCCAAGATATCTATACAATTTTGCACATTCAATCTCTTTACCTCCAAAATATATAGGACAATCGGCATAGGATAAGATGTTTTCATCAGCATGATTATATGGCAAATTATGTTGTATTATCATGACTATTGTCAATTACACAAGAAACATCATGGCATTACTGAATACAAATATCAAAAAGCATACTGAGGTTAAAATGTACTTTAGTATGGAAACTTGTGGAACTCCTGTGAACTTGATTTCAAAATTACTACAAATATTATTAATCTTTACACATTGTTTTCTGTTTTGTAAGTAGCTCTGTAATAAATCAATAAAACTATTTGATAAGCCATAAAAGAGGGACGAAAGATACCAGAGGGACAGTCAAACTCATAGATCGAAAACAAACTGACAACGCCATGGTCAAAAATAAAAAGACAGACAAATAATAGTACAGATAACACAACATAGAAAACTAAAGACTAAGCAACACGAACCCCACCAAAAACTGGGGGTGATCTAAGGTGCTCCGGAAGGGTAAGCAGATCCTGCTCCACATGTGGCACCCGTCGTGTTGCTTATGTTATTACAAATCCGGTAAATAGTCTAATTCGGTAGGTCACATTCGTGAAAAAGGAAGGGTATTGTAGTTACGACATAAGGAACATAAGTTTTCATTTGATAATAACTCATACGATAAACCGTAGAATGCCTTAGACTGCCGCTGAGTTAGATAAGTCTATCAGAAATGCTGCGACACATTTGTTATCGTCCTGTGCCTTCTATTAATCCTTTTTAGGAAGGCACCCATACCAGGATCTAAATTCATATAATAAGGGGATAAAATGTTTATAATAAAACACAGCTAGTTGATAAAAATTTGGAAATACTTGACAACACACTAACTGGACGATTATTCCCTTTATCGAGCTTATTGTTTTCTTTAAATAGTTGTCTAACCTGGGCAACCATAAGCTTTTGTGGAAATACCATAGGTACTTGGGGACATGACACATTTTGTTTCTTTTAATTTCAATTATTTTCGCGTTTTACTGCGGAAAACGAATCATGCCCGCTGACCCGAAGGAAATTAAATATTCTGAATTAGACCTGTGATTCCCCTTATAGAATGCACGTAGGAAAATAGGTGATAAGGTACGAAGTGATATACCTTCTCTCTATATATATATATAATCAGTGACTGCTGTGGATAGTAAACTAGGAATTGATAGTATATGGAAAATACATGTTATTTCTAGTAAATTAATGTTAATATAACACAGAAAAACGCGAAAATAATTGAACTAGCTAAAAGAAAACAAAAATTAACGGATTTAGGAAAAAAGGGGGAGGGCTAAAAAAATGTCATGTCCATAAGTACCTATGGGAAAAACTGTTGTTTTAAAACTGTTATCAACAATCAGTGTTTTAATGGGACTGATAATTACACGTTTTGTCAATTTTAATATTTTAGCGGAAATACCGTGGCGTCATACCCAATAGCGTTTATCTATTTGGTCGGTGACATAATAGTAATATGTCACAGACTGGAGAGTTAGTTCTTCGTCCTCCTGTTTACGAGTTTGATTAACTCAACTTTGGTTGATTTTCATTAATGACAGTATTAACTTTGCCAAAATATTGCCATATTAATGAAAACGTTGTTAATTATCATATTCAAATATAATACTTCCATGTATTATTCTCATCGATTTTAACTCAAAACTTTACGTTGTTGTTTGGGTTGTTTAAAGAAAGCTCCCTTTTGATCTTTCCTTTGATAAGTTTCCATTTGTCCTCCAGAGTAATGGGAGAAAAAGAAGAAAAAAAAACAACGGTCCAATTTATGACAAAATATTTAATGGAAAAAAACCAACAGCGACTGATTTACCGGTTTCTGACTTGGGACAGGCACATAGTGATAAAGAATGTGGAGGGATTTCACGTGTTTGTTATCATTCAATCCTCCCATAACCTGAGACAGTGGTGTAACAGCACAACAGAAGAACAAAAATAGTTTGGAAATGGCTAAATCGTCAATACGGATTGTCACGAAGCACAAAAACAACTAACATAAAAAAACAAAAGACACAAATTACCGATCTAAGCTAGAGTACTCACAGCTACTGAAAGGTCTGTTTATGTATTTATTTCATCATTGCCAAGACTTAATACAGTTGGACATTTCAGTAGATCCGAGATCTTGGCTATCTAGTAAGTATACCGAATGGATATCTATGTAGAAGAACAGCTGTACAAGATATAATAAGGTGTGATTTCATCAACAGTTAAAGTACTTTTAGTTAGCTTTTAGTAACTGCTATAGTATTAGTTTTTTTTTATGTCGGCGTCACATATGGGTATTAAAAATGGACAGTGGGGTTTTCAATTTTTTTCCTTGCGGTTTACTACGTTGCTTATGATTGAATAATTTATAAATCAATTAATGGGTTGGTAATACGTTCAAAGCGTTTTGTGTTCGTATCGGCCGACGAAATTCAACAAAAGGAGCGGGAATGATGTGAATGATAAACAGAATTTCTGAGGAATGAAATGATAAGTTTTTCTACATTCAAGGCCGTATGCTCTACAGAGAGTCAAATAATAGTAAACAATCATGTCACTACCACGTCCCAGCTTAAGGCCTCCTCTGAGCATTTGC